CACACACACACACACACACACACACACACACACACACACACACACACAACACAGCAAAACTAGTCGAGAGCTGGATGTGCTGTTGGGATCTCCCTCTGCAGTCTGGGGTTCAGGGGAGGACTCCAGGTCCAGTAAGCCAATCAGAGTGGGTCCCTTGTAGGGGGCAGGTTATGCCCAGCACAGCCACCAGTTCTGGGGCCCCAGATAGGTTTCAACAAAACAAATCCCAAACCCCACTTCCTAGAGATGAGGTACCTAATGTGCTCCAGAATGGAGATGAGGGCACTGAGAGAGGGCCAGTGAAAACTCACCTTCTCTAAACAAAATCAGCAGCCCAAAGGACTGGATCATATGACTAGTCACACAGAGGGCCTGGCTCCCTACACATTAGTTGTCCCCAGGAGAGGACAACTTTTCATACATAGAAGCTCCTGAATTCAAATGATATTTATGAATTGTCATAGCCAAGACTCAAGCTCTGCCCAGTACAGAATCACATCAGCCCAGCCGACCAGATAAACAAGGGTGCATCATTCAACTCTGAGCATCCTCACCCGCCCATGGACACACGCAGCTCTGTGCTTCTCTTTGAGGGGCTTCCCAAGCACAATTAAACCCATGGTGAGACAGCAACCTACACATGGAAGCAAAGAAACCAACCAAAATAAAACTTTAAATCAGTAAACTAACAGTGCTTTACCAAACATGCAAAAAGTAAAGAGAGAAAATATAAAATAGGTGTGATACATTACCCAAAAGCCCTGCTAAGGACCGCATGTCCTTCTCCATCAGCATGTAAATCTCTTCCTCTGAGAAGCGGCCAATGCCGTGGCCATGCATCTCGCGTTTCACAATTCCTTTCGTTATGTGGCACACAACCCACCTCAGCAGGTTGCTGAAGGGACCACCACCACTAAGAGAGAGCATCTTCCGGGTCTCATTGAGATTGTCCACCCACTGGCAATAAGCTAACGTCCTGGAATTGTGTGGAAACAAGTTACTACTGTGCATTAGATACATATCAGCTCCACAGGGTCAATTTCCAACCAATACTTCAGAATTAGGCACACTCTGGAGGAACTGAATCCTTGTAGCTTTTATTTTTTTTAAAAGCAGTCTGCATGGCAAATATTACAACAGGCTCTAGTTGATGCCTAGACTTAGGACCTGTGAGAGACACAGAACCAAATCTAGATAACGATGCCATGCTACAATTCCGCCAAATCTCCCCTGGTACCCGCCCTCAGACCCTCCCATCCCCCAAGGCCATGTTTTTGCTTTCTCTTAGGCTACTCCACAGAAAACAAGTAGGAAGGCTTTTAGGCAGGATAGTGCGTACCTCCCTACAGGGGAACATCTGGCAGTGACTAGAGTGCTGGCTTCATTCTTTTTCTTGATCAAAGCAATGGTTACACAGGTATATGCTCTGTGTTCAGCTGCATATTTTTGTTTTGCACACTTGTGCATGCATTTTATACTTCATGATATAAAAGGATTAAAAAAAACTTTTGTCTTTGTGACAGAATTAGGAAGTAGATATGTTCGTTATAAATAATATATATTATAAATATTACATTAACAACTTGCTCTGCAGAAAGTCAACTCTCTGCTTTGGTTTGTTTTCCAAGACCCTAAAATGAATACAAATACCAAAAAAACTTGGTGGAATCATTCTTCCCATCTGGGTGATGCCTGTGGCAAACTCACCCATCCAGATGCTTCTATGTAATATGTATGTATGAACAGTTAAGCAGCTATTCACTGTTCACGCATTATGCTGGTTGCAATATCTGGGCCTTTGCTGATACTGTTCTCTGAACCTGTGGCTGCAGGAAGTTTTTTATGGTTAACAGTGTTGAATGTTGGTAGATAGAAATTAAAGGCGTTTCCTATCGAAGGCTGAGAAAAAATGTAGCTATGAGTGTACAGTCATAAGATATTTAGTTTTTCCTCATAATTAGCAATAAAAGATGTATTAGCAATCATCTCAACTCCTACTGTTGGTTGATATAACAGTAATGGCCACTTCAACAAGATGAGAAAAATGAATAATATTTTTACAGAGAGAGCACAAGGGATGATAGTAAATTGTCACTACTTTCCACCTCAAGAAAAGGCAAAAAAGGGGCCCCGAAATTTTGATCATTTTATATTGTTCCATTGTTTTCAGTGTTCCTTCCTCTACAAAATGAAAATAAGAAAAACAGATTTCTTTAAAAATTTTTAAGCACTCTTAATTTTTAGTGAAAAGTCCTACAACCAATTTGAACACACTCTGTACAACCATAAGTCTTCTTTATTACCTTTTTAAAGGAATGCCTACAAATCTTGTTAGAAAACTCTGTGTACCTCTTTTTCATAAGTCTCTCAAAATAAAGTACTGAGGGATCAAGAAGTGGATTTTGCTGAAAAGAGGAAAAAGTACATTGTAATGGTGACTAATTAATGTGTAGTCAATGGAGTTTTTGATATAAAAGATCTCACATTTCTTCTAGTAAATTCCTTAAAAACATTTATACTAAATGCTTTTTCATTTGCTCTTCTTTACACCTGCAACTAAGTAATTAAGGTGTCAATTTTCACCTTCCATTAGAATAACTCAGCACTTTCATTCTAATTGTACTAGATCTAAATTCACAATAAAATGGCTATACTGACCTTCATTATTTTGGAAGACAATGTTCTGTGAATAAAACTAAATTATCCAGGGATGGGGGAGGTAGACGGGGCAAAAGGGGTCAAATATGTGGTGACAGAAAGAAATCTAACTATGGGCGGTGAACACAATGCAATATATATACCTGACTGTGAATTGTACACCTGAAACTTGCTGGATTTTGTTAACCAATGTCACCGTGATAAAAATAAAAACTAAAAAAAAACCTAAATTATCCTTAATTAAGCATGACCAGGTAATAACAGCATCCAGAAAGCATATAAAGTATAAAAATAAGGAATATAGTGGCTCTAAACTGACAAGTTGATATGGGGAAAAAATATGCTCTTTGTAGGCAAATTACACAGGGTTTGTCATAAACATAACTGATCTTGAAGGATAAGCAGAAGCTCACCAGGCAGAGCAGAGAAAGAAGGTGTGTGCAGGAAGCGAGCACTGGCTGGTTGATAAACTGCAAGAACTTCAGAACCGGTTTGTGGGGCCAGGATGCCTGAGGACGCTTGTAAGAGTTTGAAGATGGAAGGATGGGCGAGGATCAGTGTGGGTCTGATGCAAAGGGGGCTGAACTTTATTTTGAAATCAAAGTTTAACCATTTGAAGGATTTTAAGCAGACAAGAAACATAATCAGATTTCTGGTGATGTGAAGGAAGGGCTAAAAATGGAGAAACTGGCAGAAGATGGCTGGCTAGAAGACCACAGTGAGACCAGGCAAGAAATGATGGACTGAACTAAGGTGATGGCACAGAGGATGGTGAATAGAGAATGCACAGGAAAAATACTGAGATATGAGAAAAAGACCAACGTATATACAGAATTAGGCAGTAAAGAGAAATTAGGTGTTTTCTCCCAAGCTGATGGTTTAAGTGGGTAATAATGCTATGAACCAATACTGGCAATACACAAGGTAGAACAGACTTAGTTGATGAAAGATGAGTCAATTTGTTACATGTGAACTTCCCATGGGACCCTCCAACTGAGGATGTCCTAAAGGTTGAGAACTCAGAAGGCTTTAGACTCAAGATAGAGAATGTGTAGACGGGGGCATTAGTGGCAGTTTTAAAGCTGTGAGTGGAGAACAGGTCTTCTAAGGAAGTTTGAAGGATAAGGAGTGGTGATGGGGAAACAACAGTTCAAGGGCAAGTTAGAAAGTTAGATGGCCAGGCTATAAGGCCCAGCTTGGACAGAAATAGGACATCACTTTTCTCTGAGATGGAGAGAAGAAGGGTGTAGCAAGAGGTGAGGGGCTGCAGAAATGTTCAGAGTTTCTGCCAAATGATATCAGTTTCCTCTGTAGAGCAGGAAACAAGGCCATGTACAGAAGATGAGGACACAGCATGGGTACAGAGCTTTATAAGACTAATGGATTAGAGTAGTAGGTGCAGATGGAAGAAGCAGCTGTCTGGGCCACACTGACAGCTGAGAAGGGAGAAGCCCCCATCATTTCAACAGTGTAAGGTTCTCTACCTGCAGTAGCAAGCTGAATGCAGGCCACAGAAGAAGGAACACTGGGCTGATTCAGAATTTCGCAGCTAGATAATCTCAGAAACTGTCTGGTCTTTCTCCCTTCTCTTTCCTGCCCTGATCTTGATTTCTGTCCTCTCTTTCACTCCCTAAGCCCAATATTGTAGACGCGCGTCAGGAAGAGAGTGAACAAATGAGGGCCAGACAGGCTCTTTCAAGATCAAGCCTCACGAAGTGTACATAAATTTCAAATACAAAAGAAAATGGGTGCTTCATGGATTCCTAAATCAATTACTATAGGTCAATAACATCACTGACACATGCTTCCACACTATTACAATCACGAATCTACCTCCTCCTGCAATCATACTTCCTGAAAACTCTGTCCACGGGGCGGGGCTTGCACCAGGTGCCACTCCACGATACCACGCCTGTCCAATCCCTCCTCGTTGCCAAATCCAAATCAAACTTCTTTCCACACGTACCTTTCTTGAAATCTCTAGAGCATCCAAAAATGTTGGCATCTTCCTTAAAATTCTCCCTTAGCTTACATCTCCACTGCTTTTCCTCTCACCTCTTACACATTCTCAAGATTTTTATCTTTATTCCTTTCATCTTCTTATGTCTCACTCACGGGGCAATCTATTTCCCGCCCATGATTTCACCGATGACTCCCAACTCCATATCCAGCCCAGACTTCTGTTCTCAAATCCATGGATGTCATAAGAGGTCTTCAGGAGCTGCAAACCACGACTTCCAAAAATGGACTCATCATCTTCCTTCCCTTCAAATGTGCTCCTCCTCACCCAACCCAGAAAGAAGCCCAGGAGTTATTCCTCAATGTTCCCTATCCCTCGCTCCTGACAGCCAGTCATCCTAGGAGCCTGCCCTTTTCTCTAACTCGATTAACACTGTAGTTCACCCCTTCATTATTTTTCATCTCTGAGGACAGTGGCCTCCTAGCAGGTCTCCTGATATCCCCGCAAGGCCCTCCAGAAATCCATTTGCCTCAAGGCAGCCACAAAGAGCTTACAAATCTAATCACATCACACTGCTTCTCAGAGTCATTCGTTAACTCCTCATAGCTCTTTTGATCAGTATGCCCGCTTCCTCCCCATGGTCCAACACATCACTCTGCACCGCCCCATATACCACCATACAGAATTACATGTGCCTCCCAAATGCCTCTTTTGTGCCTCAAAACTTTTGCAGATGCTGCTCCCTATGCCTGGATATCCTAATCCTTCCCTACTGCCCAGTTGCTTCACCTGCAACTCTGATTGTCCCTAGATTCTGTTGTGACACCATCTCCTCTGGGAAGCCTTTCCCTCATCTCTCCAGCAGCTACTGGTTGCCTTTGCTTGGTCCTTCAAACTCTCCTCCAGCACTAACCATTATAAAGGCTCGATGTCTCTCTCCAGCCTGTGAGCCACTTGAGGACAAAGATAGCTTCTCATCACCTTGCTTTCCCCAACACACACACACCCACACCCCCACACTCCCTGCTGCACAATGCCTGGCCACTAGTAGTCGCTCATTCACTAAGTTTGCTGAAAGAATGGATTATTGATCGAATGAAAAAAGGCTTCACTTCTGAGCCAGCTACCACTAACCGTTTCTAAGGGGTAACAATATTTAAAAAGAAAAATGGAAAGAGTTGCAGTACCTATGGAGAATGAAGAAGGGGCTGCCACTGCTCTCTTCTGAGATTTGTATCACTCTCCACTGGGGAGAGGCCTGCCGCACAAGGAGTCATGAATTCTTGAAGGGAGAGGCAACAGAGGGCTAATTTGGAAACTACACTAGGCTGAGCAATTAAAATAGTTGATCATTCTGAGAGTCTCTTTCCAGGAAGTTGATACTCATGTTCTTTATTGCAACTGATGTATCTGATCTCTCCTAGAAAATGGGGTCAAAGAGTTTTTTGGGTTTTTTTTTTAAGGATGATTATCTGAGTCAAAACTAAAGAATAAACCCTGAACGAACATGTTTTAAAAAAGATCAAGACGACAGGGAGGAAAAAGCCAACTCCGGATTTTTAATGAAAATCTCTCTCATTACAACCTAACATGAGACCTGGCCCGTAGCTTAATGAATATCAGTGTGCGGGAAACTGCAAACCATAGCAAACCACCGTTTGATGGGTGAGGCCTTGCTCGTAGCCTTCCCGACCATGACCGCCTTTCTCGGTGTTGTGCCACATTTTGCTTGTATTCTGAATGCTCCAGGGTGCAGCAGGAGCATATGATGGGCTTTTGTAGTTTCACCACATTTCACAGGCATTAGATTAGCTCCTCCAAATAAGAGCCTTCACTCACTGCATCTAACACTGGGAGGGAGTTATCAGAGGAGAATACAGTAACTGAGTTGTAATCAGGGAGAGTCTCCTGGCTTTTAGAGAAGACCTTGGGTAAGTCATTTTATTAAAGCTTCCCACCTCCCCATTCACAGAAACTATACCAAAAACCAAACTCAAAATTTTAAAAATTATGGCCACCTAAGAAGTGATTTTGAATTTCCTGTTCTAACGCCTATATTTTTATGGGTGAAAATGTTATGGCTAGTTTGATAACAGTGCCCTACGCACTTCCCCATAGGGTTGGAAGACTCTTAAGACACTCTCTGATGTCCACGAGGGGACAGTATGTCACACAGAAGTTACGGTTTCTGTTACCAAAAATCAATTTCATCTCAGTAATGTGACCCTGTGTCTCTCAGACTTCCCTTTATACCGACTTGCCTGCATTAGATCTAACTTATGCATTCAGTGGAACAAAGGAGATTAAAATCGGTCTTCTTCATCTTTTGTAATAGTTTTATAAAGCAAGTGGAACATAGCTGTATGGTTTTCAAGTGCACAGCTAGCTGAGTGTGCTTATCTGAACAGACCTAAAACAGAGCTTCAGAATTATGTCACATTACATACAGCTTCCCATTGTCTTTGCTCTTCAGAAAATCACACCTGAAGTGAAATAGTTTTAAAGTTTCAGACCAAAATAAACATACCTGAAAACTCCAGATAATTGAATCCACTGAGTCAAACAATCAATTCCACCTCTTCTACCACTGTATATACAGACAGTATATACTTGGAGCTTATGGAGTCTCAGAATTTAACAAGCTCTCATGGAAAGTTCGTACTTATAATATCTTCCTACATACAGTGGTCAGTTCCCTAGGCTGGCCCCAGTTTCCACAGGTGCACATTTGGTGTTTTGCCTGTGAGACTTGAAAAGGAGATGGAAGTGAGGTGGCTAAGGGAGGAGAGTTCACAGATTCTCTGCCTCTGGTATTTTCTTACCATGAGGAGACCTAGTCTTTTCTCCATTGGGCTTTAGAGCTTTCAGGGAAAACCTGTTCAGCATCTCCCCAGAGCGAGAAGTTGGCTAAAGGTTTAGAAACCTTATGAAAAAGAGAAATGTCTGTTTTTCCTTCTGCTACTAGAAACTTAGGGGAATTGGAGGAATCAGGAATTTTTTTTTGAAAGCTCACTATATTTGCATTTCAGTCAAGAACTGACAACCCACCTTCATTATTTCTTCCTCAAATTAACTCTTAAGGAGATACAAATGAGAAATAGTAGCTAATCCAAAAAAGTATTTTCTTAATTAAAGAGACTAGAAGTCTATGTATGAGCCAAAAAACTCCCCAAACACTTGGGGGTTTGTGGTCTATAAAATTAAGATTCTTCCCTACCAGGGTACCACCTCTGGCTCTCTCTTCCACCCCTCCCTTCAACCATCCTTCCCTCTCCCACCACACCCTGCCCCACAGCAAATATGAGCAAGGACCAAGAAGAGAAAGGAGAAAGAAGAGAAGATAAACGTCTACCAGGAAGTAAACATATGCAAAACATTGCACACACCTAGAACTAGAAGCAGTGATGGGTGGTACTCTGGAATCTTGCCAGATAAGTCTTTCTAACCAGAATATAAATTTTATGAACCACTGCAGAAATGAGAGTTGTAACAAAAGTACCAATTGAAATGTAAGGTTTTCAGCTTCTTTTCAAGCACCTGACAAAGCGCTAGCAACCCCCTCCCCTCCATTAATGGGCCCAATTGATCAAATAAAGAAGCGCTTTGGAGGGCCACATCAAGGCAAGGCACTGAGAGTCAGCATGGTGGCCCTGTTTTGGTTCATCACTTCCCTCAATCGCTGCGAATCTGGGACTGGAACCTGGCAAGCAGGTAAGACAGGCTCTGTCCCACAGGCTTTTCTCTGGGGCTAAGCATCTCACATGCAATCATGCATTTTGGTCCACACTGCAAACCCCTGCACTCTTTGAGATGGGAGGTCCAGCAGTTCTCCACAGGTATTACTATAAGGAAAAAACCTGGGTTCATTCCAGGATTCAGTCCGTGATTACTACCACACAGATCTGCATCTTTGTCTCTATTCTCTGCCTGCTTCCCTTTTTGTTCCCACCACCTTCACCTCTGTGTGAGATGGGAAGAGAAGTGGGACTTCAGGTCAGCCCTGGAATAAACTGGGCAAGAACTGAAAGTAGAAAGAGGAAAAGAAAAATAGAGGATCACTTAAAGTCCAAGAGACAGAACAGTAAGCTTTCTCTTTAGAAAGAGAGCCGAAGAGATGAAATAGGAAGGTGATGGTGAAGAACCTTCTACCGTCAACCCCACACTGAGTAGACAGCTTCTCAGTGGGCGAGGTAAAAGCTACTGGGTGAGCTACTGACCCAGGAGTAACAATTAATGCCCCCCCAAAAAGAGTGAGCTTAGCAATTCTTAATTAAATCACTGAAAAAAGAGAAAGTTTGCAGAAATCAGAGAGAAAATTTCTTTTACCTACTGGGGGTGTATAGAAAGGTGCTAAAACTCCAGAAAATGGATGAAAGAAAAAGAAAAAGAAAACCCACATGATGATGAGTTTGTAAAGCAAGAAGAACCATATCTGTTTAACCCACACGGCGTCATAGCCAGCACAGCGCCACGTGCAGAACGGAGTCAGCTCATCAACACAGTGTGTGTGATGCTTCTGTGCCAAGGAATATGAGCTAGGAGTCAGGCAATCAGGGCGAAGACACTTGGAAAGCAGTAGGATGCTTTACTTCTGGAACACAGAGACTCTCTTGTCAACTAAGGAAAACTGACAATAATCTTTCAAAGCTGGCATAATTTATTTCGCCTAGGACCCCCTGACGTAGGTTTCTGCTCCCTCCTCTGGGTACCTGCTGCATTGTTACTTTAATTTGGCAGCTTGTATTGGTGAGGAGCCCCATCTACTGAAATATCTACCTCACCTCGGTGAGCTCCCATCTAGATCGGGGGTCAGCCAATGACTGCCATGGGCTAAGCAATTTTCACATTTTTAAATGGTTGAGAAAAAAAAAATCAAAAGTATAATATTTTATATTTCAATTAAATTCAAATTATAGTCCTTTTATTGAAACAAAGTCATTCTTATTTATTTGCATGTCATCTATGGCCCCTTTTGCACTACGACAGCAGGGCAAAGGTGAGTACAGCTGAGCCCTGAACGGCACAGATTTGAACTGCACAGGTCTACTTATGCACAGATTTTTTTTCGATAAATATGTAAAGTACTATAAATGTATTTTCTCTTATGATTTTCTTAATACATTTTCTCTTGCTTTATTGTAAGAATGTAATATATAATGTAATATATAATATGTAATATATAATACATGTAATATATAAGAATGTAATATATAATGTAATATATAATACATATAACATACAAAATATATGTTAATTGACTGTTTATGTTATCTGTAAGGCTTCTGGTCAACACTAGGCTGTTAGTAGTTAAGTTCTGAGGGAGTCAAAAGTTATACGTGGATTTTCAACTGTGTGAGGGTCAGTGCCCCACAGTCCCCACATTGTTCAAAAATCAACTAGAGTTACTACAGAGACATGGCCCACAAAGCCTAAAATATGTACAAGCTGGGCCTCTACAGACAGCGTCAATCCTGCTCTCGATACCTAGAAAGTTAACAGTCACAACTGTGACCTCTAAGTCAGAATCCAGAAAACTTTTGAAAAGTTTTCTTTTTGAAACAAAAGGTTTGGGGGTGTCTGAAAAGGGACACAGAACTTGGCTCACTCCAAAGGATGGGGACAGGCCCTGAGCACTCATCAAGCACCCCAGGGAACTCACCAGTAGAAGTGTTCCTCCACCATCTTCGTCACTGCCCTGGAGATGGCTCTTTCATGAGGGCCAAGGTTTTTGTTTAAATTCACTCCAAGTTTCTCTTCCAGAAAGTCGATTATGAATTCTGTGCCAGAAACTTTTTCATGATTATATTCAATCCAAGGCATTTTCCCTTGAGCAGAGAGTTTTCCACCAAAATAATTCTAAGCAGAATTTTAAAAAGATAAAAACAATGTTTTATTTATATTTCACTGAATGATTAACAGAAACAGACATTCCAACTGTATATTTGATAGCAACTATACTACCCAAATGAATGTTCTCAGCACATAAACTCTTCAAAAGAATAAATGGTTACACTTGGGAAAAAAAAAGATTTCTCTCACATGACAATATTACTTTACTCCCATAGATTTTTATCATGGGCTCTGACTTATTGTCGAAAGAGAGAGAGAGAGTACGAGAGAGAGAGTACGAGAGAGAGAAAGAGACCCAAAAGAAAAGAAAGCATAAATCCATGCAAAAACTACACATATGTTCACAGAAGCTTTATCTGCAATTGTCAAAAACCAGGGGGAAAATCAAATGCCCAGGAAGAGGTATGACTAAGCAAATTCTTCTACAAATTTACAATGGAATATTACTCAGTAATATAAAGGAACGAACTACTGATACACACGATAACACGGATGAATTTTAAGACAGTGTTACTAAATGAAATAAGCCAAACCAAAAAAAGAGTACTTACTGTAGGATTCAATTTATATAAAACTCTAGGAAATACAAACTAATCTATATGACAGAATGCCAATCAGTGTTTGCCAGAGAAGATGGGGGACAAGAAGTAACAGAATGGAAGGATTACAAAGGAGCACAGGGAAATTCAATAGGTAATGCAAACATCACTATCTTGATTGGGGTGGTGTTTTACTGAGTATTTACATATGTCAAAATGTATCAAAGTATACATTAAATATGTGCAGTTTATAGTGTGCCTATTCTATTTCAATAAAGCTATTTTTCTCTTTTAAAAAACATCATTACATTTTAAATACATCAGTCATTTACGTCTTTAAACTGTTTCTCGAGAGTAGCAGTCAGCAAACTTTTTCTGTAAAGGGCCAGACAGTAAATTTGGTCTCTGTCTCAACGACTCACCTTTGCAACTGCAGCATGAAAGCAGCCACAGACAACATGTAAATGAATGAAAGTGGCAATAAAAAGTTGTTTATGGACACTAAAATGTGACTGTAATATACAAAACATTATATTTCTTTTGACTTTTTTCAACTATTTAAAAATGTGAAAATCCTTCTTAGTTCAGGGGCCTAATCTGGCCTGCAGACCCACACAACCTGTCCACCTCTGGCTTTGGGGCATCCATTTACCCTCATCACCTCTTAGAGAAACAAAATTAAACTTAAGTAACCGTTGGGATCAGGGCCACCAGCCACCACAGGAAGACACCTCCTTGCAAAGATGCAGGTGATAGAAAACTCTGTGAGGGCCCCCCCTTCCTGGAGACCTCTGGTCAAACCTTCCTTTAGACTGGAAACCAAAATTTGCTGAGAAATGAAAAAAATTGCCAGTTGGGTATTTTGTTTTCTGTGAAAAATCACTGAGATTAACAAAGGTGACTATTGCTCTAATTGTCTTCACCTAAATCACATCAAAGTGTGCATGTGCCTTTCCCAAAACCAAACAGTCCATCTCACAAGGAATAAAAAAAAAAACACGGAATATTGCAAAATTTCTAAGTCTCTCTGTGTCTAAGAATTATGTTTGCATGTTGTGTGTGGTATGTATGATCACTGAATTTGGCCTCCAGTGAGATTACAGGGTTATGGCTAGATATCATGGCTCTTAAACATAGCTGTCCATTTGTGCCCAAGAGGGCTGGGCTTGGACTATGCTGGAAGGTCCCAGGCTTCTCAGACCTTTGAGGAAATATCACCTTTTTGAGAGGCTGAAAATAGCAGGCACTACCTTAATGTTGCATATTTCTGTCTTTGATGGAGAGTACTGGAAACTTTGACTCTGTCTCTTGGTATCTCGATATTTTATCTCATTGCTTATTCTAAAGAAATTTATTCTGGGCCCTGCCTGGAAAAGGGAGTTATTGGGGCTGCTGTTAGCCGTATTGCTTTTGTGCAATTTGGGAAATGGAACCTCCCCTGGGTAGATACAGTCCATGCCAGGACTCATAGCTTGGCAAGTACTCCTTGCCCTCAGTCCTTGGCCAGGCACTTTTGTACAGTGAACAACCTGCACAACCATACACGGCAGCCCTAGACATCACCCTTGATGTTGACGGCGGGGAAATGTCACATATCTCTAAAGGTTTCTAGTACATCTGACATTCTTGTAATTTGTACACTAAGATGTAAATTTACCATATAAGATAGCGCTAGTTTCAGATTTCTTTTGATAACACCCATATCCTCAAAACATATTCCCTTCTGGACTCCTGTCAGTCACAAATGTAATCTAGCCTCCAAATTACCATCAGAGGAAACTGTCTGCAATACAAATGAGTTACAAGACCTCTGCTGCTCAAATTATCCAAGGGCTTTAATGGATCGAGTCTAACCCCCTTCACATCAGTCAAGGCCCACAATAGCTACTGTCCTCCTGCCTAGCCTCCTTGCCATCAGTCCCTCTGGTCTCTTGAATTCCAAACTACCTATTCCAAACAAAGTTAAATTCTTTGCCACCTCTCTGACTTTGTACACGTTTCACTTTTTATAGGAATTCCTTTTCCCATTCTCTGCAAAGTCCTGTCCATATCAAAAATTCAGTTCAAATTTCACCTTGTTAATGACTATTTCCCCAAGATGTAGCCATTATCTGCCTTTCCTCCATGTTTCCACTGTACAGTGTCTATTCCTCTCCCCTTATAAAATTTCTGTTTACACATCTGCCTTTCCCACTAGACTACTCTCTCCCTGGGTACTTGGTACATTTTATCTAGACCACTTTTTTAAGTTGGAGTAATAAAAATTAAGGATCAACCCTTATGAAAATGAAAGTTCTAGTATGTTTTCATCATCGAATTTTATTCTGCATATGAGATTAAAAAGCAGGAAACATTTTAGAGACACTATCATTATATCTAACTGAAAACTAGATGAACCGAAAAAATATTTTTAAAAGGAAACACAAAAATGTCAAGTCATTGGCAAAATTATAGGTGACATGGAGGTGATCTTTGTCATGTATTTCAATTTTTCTGAATGTAGTTATATTACTTTTAAAATAAAAAGCATGTTTTAAAAATAATAACTACGTTTATATAGGTATATATTTATATTACATAATTTCCTTAACTTCTTTAAATGTATTAAAGAAATCTTAGACTATTTTTATTTAAGCAATGAGAGTCTAACTGGTCCCACTGAGGGTAGTTTCTAAAAGTAATTTTGAGATGAAGAATGAAGAGGTTAATCCTCTATATTTTTTCCAAGCGATTGTTTCCCCTTGCAAGTCTGTCCCAGGTGGGATTAATGCATCTACACATAATTACATTATTAGTATATCAGTGAAAGCCATAGGCTTTGGATTTAAAATTCTGGCTCTGTCATTCATTCACTGTGTGGCCTTGAACCTTCACAGTTCTCCCTACCCCTTCCTGGGCCTCAATTCCCTCATCTTTAGAATGGGGATAATGTAATAGCAGTTGCTAAAATTAAATCAGAAAATACACATGAAGTGTTTGACAAATTGCCTTCACCAGAAGTATTAACATCACCATCACCATTTAGAGATGGAGAAGTTGAGACCTTAAAAGAATTCCTGTGTCTTGGGACTCTGATTTGTTATATGGCCATGATGCCCTTGACTTTTCAGCTAAATTTATACCCATTACATTTTCTGCACCCCTGCAGCCATCTTGAAAGGCCTCCCACTGACTAAATTAGAGGTAATTTGAGCAACTTTTGTGGAATATAACATACTAAAAAAAGAAAAAAAAAATCCAGGTACCCACTATGTATTATAGTTGTATGGAAGAATGTCCTTATTTTTTGGAGATGCATTCTCAAGTAGTGAGGGGTGAAGTGTCATGATTTCTGCAACCTACTCTTAAATGGTTCATCAAAAAAAAAAAAAAAAAAAAATCGACCATAAAGGAACATATAAAGAGAAATAAAGCAAAGAAGGCAACAGGTTATCAATTGGTTAATCTAAATAAAGGGCACATGGGTGTTCAGCATACTCTTTTAACTTGTCTGAAGCCTAGAAGAATTTCAAACAGGGGGGGAAAAAAGACAAGATCAGAAAATAAATAGAACATCAAAAGTTAGGACTGAGAGCCAAAGCAGAGAATTCCAAAGGAGCCATTATCTTACTTTTTTCTTTCTCTTATTATTTAAAAAAGAATTAATGTGTGAAATACATGCAAATGATCTGTCTTTATGTATGTCTAGAGAAATATAAGGAAGGATGGTCAAAATATCAGTGACAGTAATCTCTAGCTAGTAGGATGTCAGGTAATTTTCATTTTCCACTAACACTTTATGTATTGTTTGAAATACTTAGAAAGACCATATATCACATACATGTAAATCTGAAAAAAAAAAAAAAGAAAAGCTATTTTCGGTTTTAAAAAAATTAACCATATTTACAAGATGTCCCTACATTTTTTGCAACTTCCTATGAATCTATAATTATTACAAAATAAAAAGTTTTAAAAATTGACCTACCAATATTTATATCCTGATTTTAAAAGGATGATAACTATGACCAATACATCGGGCTTTTTTTAAAAGCCCTGCAAATGCCTAATGGTCATCAAATATTTATTCCAGTCTCACTTAGGCTTTAAAATAAAAAATCTTCAAATATAAAGTCATGTTCTTAGGAATATGACATTTTAATCTTAATTTTTTAAAGGCATAGAGCAAAGAAATGGCAGAGGGTGGGACTCCCTAGCAATATGACAAAATCCCTCTACTGATCGTGGAGAAATGAGCCCACCAGCACCTCCCAGATACCACCTGAATCAACACAAAAGCTCATGGATGGCACAGGGGCTCAAGGCACCCAGGCAGGCAGAGTGCATCCCTTTCTCAACCACAGAGCCACTTTCCTTTTACCTAAGATCTCTGTCCCACACCGAACACCCTCCTCCATTTATTTTCCATAGAAACCTCACAGAAGAAAAAAATGCTCCTATACCGTTCCTTTTATTAAAAATATACTTAACAAGACATAATAATTTTGGAAGGGGTAAGCATTCCCCTTCTCAAAGGCCTCTGTAATAGCTTTGAGCTTCACAGTGAGACATGTGTTCTGCTGCATCAGTTGCATTAACTAAACGCAGTTGCTCTAAAATATGAACAAAGGTAGTTAGGCTGCTGGTAAAGACAGGACAACGGCAATCAACACTTGATGGCTAGAAGACAAGAAAGGAAAGGGCAGAACAGCCTGACAGCAGCTGCATCCACTGCAAACAGCAGGATTTACTTAATCAGGGGTAGGGGTGCACACAAGATCTTGAAAGCAAACATAGAGACTGCATAGCACAAAATTCAGGTTTTGGACCCAAAGGAGGCAATCTAGTCAAGAGCGATGATGGAGTAGAGACAGGCACCTGCTGGACAGCAGCCTCTTCCTTCAATTTGTGTCCCTCAGTGATACACTTCAAATGCTGACCACCAACACCAAGCTAAACAATCTTTCAAATCTGATTCAATGCCTTTAGATGAGTCAAGCCATCTGTTCTTACTGCTATTTTCTCCTCAATCACTGGCTTAGAAAATCCTGAATAATCTCCCGGCTTCTCTCTCCAGACTCACCCTTGCATTCCGGTTCCTAGCCATAAAGACCCCATCCCTTCCTAGGTCTCCCCCATACCCGAGTCCAGATTCGGTGCCACTGCATCATATTCTCAGGCTCCATTACAGCACTTAGCAAGCTGAGAGCATGTCATTCATCTCATCCCAGTGCTGTCTTCGGAAGATCACTGTTGAGCCCATCCCCTCTCGGGTAGAGAAACTGGCTTAGAAAGCACAAGCCATGGGGCATCAGGAGTTGGAGGGGTAATATCGTTATCAGGGCAGCCAAAAGCTTGGCTGGGTGAGGAGTCCTCCCCATCCAACTTCCCTGCTCCTCTGTTTCCAGCCACCTCTTCCCAACGCTATTTTGTGAGAACATAAAGGTAAACCCCTCACCAGTGGGAGTCAATTGGAAGAATGGCAGAAAACAGGAGGGACCACACTGATTTGGGGATGCCTGGGGCTCACCTCCTTCCCTTTCTTCAACACCCTCAGAGGCACACAACCTGTGGCCTGAGCTTTAGCCCTTGCTCAGTACAAATTCCCAGGCAGGGAAGCTGACATCCCTGGTGAAAAGAGATCTCAAACCAAAATTATCAGACACTTGAGGAGTACAACCACTGTAAGAGAAGGGCAACTGGATATACACAACATGAAGCACGATTATTGGGATGGACCAAAAAATTAATTAGCATAATAAATGTCCTCTAAGAGATAAAGGAAGAAATTAGTAATACAAATCAAGGGGAAATATTAAGAAGAAAGATATAAGAGCTGAACACCATAGATAAGAGAAACAGCCTGATGGATGCAGGAAGAGAACAGAGCAATGCAATAGAAGCTCAGAGAGATAACTTCTTCCAGAAGGAAGAAAAGAACAAAGGGATACATTAAGAGATGCAGAAAATAAAAGCAGAGGTTTCAGTGTCCAGAAAATAGGGAAGAGGAAAGAAGGGAAAACAAAAAAGAAAATATTTGAAGAAAACTGATAATTCCCCAGAATTAAAAAAAGCTATTAAAGACTTCAGATTAAAAGAGTTTATAAAGGACCAAACGAGGTACATAAAGACCCACACCAAGGCACATTAGAGTGAAATTTAAGAAATTCAAGATTAAATGCAAATTCTAAAACTTCCAGAGAAAAAAAAGAATGAAAAACAATCAGATTAACATTAGATTTTTCAACAGCAGCATCAATGCAAAAAGACAATGGAGCAATATTTTTTAATTTTATACCCAAAAAGAAAATATAATGTTTAAATCACTGAAAGAAAAAAGCTTTGAACATAGAATTATCAAATATAAGTGCATAATAAAGACATTCTCAGGCATGCGAAGCCACTGAAGATTTGCCACTTAAAGTCTCACTAAAAATATACATCAAGGAAGTAATCCTGTAGGCTAGATATATGAGAAGTTAGGCTAATCAAATAACTTAGCAAGGTTTGTTGTCCAAAAAAGAATCAAAAAAAAAAAAGAGAGAGAGAGAGAGATAGTATTTCCAAAATTCCAGAAGTAAAACATTAGAAAACAGCAACATGATTAAGATGAGGGCTGGGAAGAGAAACACAAGGTTCACATGAACCTGCTAACATACCTGTATCATTAGAGGCAAATACAAAATGTGATACATTTAAGAAATAAATAGGAATAAACACAGATTTCGATCTTAAGAGCAACCATTATAACAACAAAAATAGAATTTGTTTTAATGACAAGAAAAAACTTTAAGCTATCCATTATAAAGCAGGGAATGAGAAAAAAAATTTTTAAAAGTAATAGTAAGGATAAAAGTATTAAATAAGATGTTAGAAATAAATCCTAATAAAACAATAACAAAAAGTATAAATGGATTAAACTCACCAATTAAGAACTCTCAGACTGTCTATAAATAATACATTGTCTACAAGAGACAAATACACAAAAAATAGAGAATGAGGATGGAGAAAGATATCCCAAGCAAATAGGAGCCAAAAGAAAGCTGGCAAATCAATCTCAATATCTGATAATATAGAATTCAAGGTTAAAAAAAATCATAAGGGACAGAAATGGCTGCTATATGCTAGAAAAAGAAACAAAATGGTGAAAGATGTGAGCTTTCATATTATATTGACTTAACAATATAACCTCTAATATGTAAATACTTTTACATAAACAAGAACAGAATGACAAGAAAATGAGATAAATTAACAAGAAGACTTGCATATTTTAACATACTCCTTTCAGAAACTGCTAGAACAGGCAGACAAAAAATTGAAGCAGTGATATAGAAGGTCTAAACAATATACTAAAACATGCCTGAGCAAGTAGAGAGCACTCTATAGCCAGAGAATACATAATTATTTTCAATATTTATAAAAAAGTAGCTACCCACTAGGCTCGAGTCAGTAAATTCCAAGGAATTAATATCATAAAGACTACATGCTTTGACCATAAAATTTTTTTAAATTTAAAAAGTCAAGTTTAAAAAAAAAAAATGCATATGGCTAGAATTACGTAAGAAAGAAAAACATAAGGGAATTTTTAAAAATACACGGAATTGAATAACAATGAAAACACGACTTGTCAAATTTGTGAAACACAGCTCAAGTACTACTCAAGAGAAAAAAATATACCCTTAAATACATTCCTTTGTTCACACTCTAATGCTGAAGTGGGCAACTGTTTCCCTGAAAGTCACTCACACAAAACACAGAGCACTGTGGAAACACTCTCACAAAATCTACAGATCTCTCCCTGGTGGCCTGCTAGGTGTTCTGCCCCCAGGAGTCATGAGAGACAAAATATAAGCTGTCAATAAAAAGAAACCTAAAGGAAAAACCACGTCAGACGATGATATACCCACCTTTATTAATAGCTGCCTAGTAGGCCGACCCAAACTTAACCAAAGTATACTCAATGTCAGGAAAAAAATAACCTGGCCCTGAACCCTACAAAAAGTCCAGATCCTTTTGATCTCTCACTAAATTGGTTGTAAAAATCAACGGACCCTAGAGTCAAGTCTGCTAAGTATCTACTAAGGACTAGGCACTGCTACTTTCATACCCACCGCCTCTAGCACCAAGTGCCAGCCGTTCCCACCATGAGCGATCAGGCACTGCTCTCTAATCGATACTGCTGTCATGAGAACAAAACATGTGCACACAAGTACCTGATAGGGTAGGTCAGCCATCCTTAAATAAGTTTCCATTTTCAAACAGAAAGGAGATAAACTGGGAACACCATTGTTAGGTCTTGCAAACTGATGCAAAATAATAGCATCTTTGGAGTCAATCTCTTGCTGTTTCCTGTTAAAACCAAAACAGAAATAAAGAACAATCCATGTGTTATATATTCAGTTCCCTTAGTTCCTCAGAGATCCCTGCTGGGCTGTAGCTTCTCAACGAACAAGCAGATCTGTTTGTCACTGGAGCTTACCTCACCCAGAAGCACTTAGAGTGTGGAAGCTTGGTTGAAATACAAAAGAACCTTATAAACTCTGATTTTACTATGAAAAATCAGTCAAGCTCAGAAAAGTACGTATCAGTCGCCTTTGGTACCTGTAGCCTATGGACAGGAAGAGTACTGTCTGGTACAGGTCCACCTCTACCCCAACTGGCTATTTTTATCTTCCAGGGACAAGATGGATGAATAAAAATGATATTCTGCACTTACTACATGTCAGACATCGTTCTGAGGGCTTCATAGGTATTATCTCATTTAAGCTTCACAATAACCTTACAAGGTCGGAACTACTATCATCCATGTTTTGTAGATGATGAAACTGAGGCACAGAGGATTAACTTGCCACAGTCACATTACTAGTAAACAGCAGGACTGAACCAGGTAGTTATAACTGAACCAGGTAGTTAGAGCCTATACTTGCCACAGTCACATTACTAGTAAACAGCAGGACCTGAACTGAACCAGGTAGTTAGAGCCTATACTTGACCACTAGACTGTTCTAGTGGTCTGTTCATCCATAGGACCATGGAATAACAGTGCAGATTTACTCTGCCATGCCCCAAGTCTGCAGGGAATCTAAGACTCTGAGTATTCTGGTCCCTCTTCCAAACTATCCATCCCCCTACCTGACCTTTCACCTCGGTGCTGAGGAAGCTAGATTCTGAGCTCTCTCATCCCCTCTGCCTTCCCAGAGTTCCCACTTTCACCACACAGCATGCGGCTTATTACCTCTCCCTTTTCTTCTGTCTCAGCCACATATCTACCTTTTCCTTTGGCTACTTTTTTTGGATGGGGAGGACTTCCCTAGTACAGTTTTTTAAAAGTCACCAAAAGTAGAGCAAATGCTGAATTCCAAGTCTGGACACATGCAGTCAAGTCCAAGCCCTGCTTCCTACTGGCCACGTTACTCTTGACCTCTGCTCTCTCACACAGAAAGTGAGGGCAGTATCTATGCTGCAGCATTGTCCTGAGAATTAAATAAGATAATATCTGTAAACATTTGGTGAGCTATCAAGCATTCTCTAAGAGCAGTGGACTTTATTCTCAAAGAGATATGATCACATCCCCTTAAGCTACTAAATCTTAACATTCCACAAAGTCCCTCTACACCATAGGAACCTTCTGCAATTCCCATCATTCGCTCGACCCAACCACTTCCCACTCTTCCCCTTGGCCTTCCCTGAGCCTCTGGTTCCCTCACATCGTTCCTTGTTTAATCCTTCATGTACTTGTACCCAAGCAAGGAGAGCTCTTCATCACATCATGACACAGATGTTCACTTACTGCGGCATCTCCAGTCAATAAAATAAACTCTTTTGGAGAAGTTTACCACCAGCATGTCCATTCCACTTAACAAGTTAGGAGTGACTCATTTTTAAAATACTGGTCAAAAGAATAAAAATATTTGCTGTTTTTTGGCAATTTTTACTATAAAACAAATGTTTTCATTTGATGAAATATTTGGGAGGTCAAATGTTAAAATTAAGAAGCCATTTAAACTATGTTCCTAAAAAGTGAAAACTGTGAATATGACAACTGATTTTGTCCAGTCGAATAATTCAAGTCACAGAGTGGTATTTTCATGGAAATTAGCAGGGCAAAAACTTAAGAACTGAAAAGATAGGAGATAAATATAAAATGCCCTGCACCACTTGATAAATCTAAAACTTCCATTAGAAACAATCTAATTCTAATGGCTAACTCAGGCCATGTCATAATAAGAATGGATGCTAACTATGTAGCAAACACATATGCCAATGACTTTTTATACATAATGCATATTAAATTATTTCAGTAACACTACAGAGTGGATACTGTTATAATTTAAAATCAGTATATTATACTGTACTTATATTTTACAGTAGACAAGGAAATGGAAGCTCAGAGAGGTTAATAACTTGCCCAAGGAATATCAATTTAAGATCAAGTGGTTAATAGCTCCAGTTCTCAAGATCTTAAGTACTTCAACTACACCAAAATAGACAATTCCTCAGTTAACTTTATTAAAACAGCCAGTTTGACTCAGACCACTCAAGCCTGGAACTTTCTGATAAAAGTCTATAATAACTAATGACATCCAACTTTTTTTGAATGTTCACTATATGCCAAACTATGTGCTAAGCATTTCACATGTGTTAACTCATTTAATCAATCCTATGAGGAAGGTTACTATTATCATCCCTATTTTACAGGTGAAGAAACTGAGTAACCAAGCAGCTTATTCTCAGATCCAAAGTCACATAGTTGATTCAAAGCACAGTGAATTGAACCCATTTTGGTCCTGGGACCCTCCCTCCACACATCAGAAACCTTTCTCTAACTTAGGATCAGAGGAGCAGGTGACCTGTTTCCTGAACAGTTATATTTTTTAAAGTGCCCTGATAAGAGAACACTTTTAGAGCAGCAAGACTAGCCCTACTCTCTTGGTGAAGGACATCACAGATGACCATGCCTCTGTGAATGGCTAATGAGCTGTTAGTTTATGGGAATCAGATGACCCATGTGCTGCTGATTCCCTAAGTTTTCTAGGACAGGGTAAGCCCCTGTGCCTAAAGTGCAAATGAGCTACCATTAACAAAGTCATTATTTAGTCATTTAATTTACAAACAATAGATTTCCAAATGCCAAATGAAATTAAAACAGCTGCTAGGATACCTTCATTCAGAAAGAGAGAAACAGAAGGTCAGGACTATATTTGTTTAAAAATATTTTGGTGAGAAAAACATGGATAAAATCCAAAATACTCACTTTGGTTATACTCATTAATGAAACCTAAATAATTCTCAACTTTACTTTCCATTCTGGAGACATAGCCATAGATTAAGGTTAAGTCTATGCAGCAGCAAATCCAAGTACAGTGGTGAAGACTAAAATTGCCAGTGAACTCAAATAGCATAGCCATTTCAAGGTGTATTGTTCATCCCATATATTTTGGATTGTTTTGTGTTTTGTCTAAACCACAGAGACAACTGAAACTTAGATTTACCTTAAGTGGAAGTATCTATCATGTAAACTCTGATTCTCAGTTCTCAACCTTCCTCAGTCTTTCCCCCATCCCTGTGTGCCTAGAGGCTGTCAAAAACTCAGGTCCCTGCCATATGCCTGTCTTCTCTGAACAATGCCCCAATTCTCTACATTTCTGTTCCTCTCCCTCATCAAAACCTATTTCAGACTTGGTACTTTCTAGGAGGCAATGGTAAAAAGTGCAGCCTCACTTTGTGCTGACACACATTCCCAGATTTGAATTTGGATCCGACTCCTCTTACTGCGTGATCATGGGCAAGTTGCTTAACCTCCATGGCCACAATATCCTTACCTATGAAACGGGGATCAAGTATCCAACGTTAATTGTGAAGGATAAATGCAACCATGTAACTCAAGTGCTTCTATGCAGAGACCCTACTAAGGGCTCAAAAATGGGCAGCCATTTTTATTACTTGCGTTAAAACAGGGTTTTCCAAATCAACTTAAACATCTGTCAAGAAATAAAAGTGAATAAACCAAGGATTAAAAACGCCTCAATCTAAAGTATCCAGGTAGTCCCCTAAGTGGGGAAGGGAACATCTGTGGGCAGAGGGCTCTCAGTCCAGTGACCACACCTATCAGGGCGTGGCCTGCTCACAGGATAAGCTCCGAGAGAGATCCTTGCTATTTCTGCAAGGTCATTTAAGCAAGGTTTAGACTCAGTCCTGTGAAGTTGAGCCTTCAATCCAGCCACTAAGTGTACAACTGGTGAGAAGCCACATAGTTTGGGATCTTGAAAAGGTTTTGGACTGGGATATAACAGAGAAACAACAGAGTTACCATTTAAATTACTGCACAAATGTTTTAGGTATCATATAGCTTGAAATAGAGTTCCAAAATTAGCAAAAATATAAAATGATCTAGAGAGAATTTCACTTTAAAATTATTTGGTTCAACTAGAATCAGGGCACTGTGCTAAGTGAGAGCATTCAATGTATAATAAACTCAAAATAAAACTTCTCAATTATGGCTAAATAATATGAAAGCCAGTACATTTCCCCAGACCTAAACGATTTCCCACCTCTCACAATATACACAATACCTAAGTTAGCCTGTCACAATGTCCTCCTGGAATCCCTGCAGGCCTCTTAAAGGTCACCTATCACTGTCTTTGTTTACAACCTATTGTGTAGGATTCCCCCACTGGAAAAAGGCAATGTGGACACATTTCTCACTATTTAAAATATACTGGCCATGAGGAACATTCTAAGTCATTGATAACTGCCTGCTTTTGGTCATCTCCCAGTGACTGAGGGCTCAAACGCAGGGAAATTTTAATCACAAATTAACGTATCAATTAGCCAAACGACCATCTCAGTAGACTATAGTATTACCCTACTCAAAGATCTCATGTCCGGCTGGATGTACCAACGGCAGGGGCCTCCATTTTCTGGTATTTCCAAGTCAATCCTGTAAACATTCTGCGGCAGGCAGCAGATGCAACGGTTCATAGCACCAGGTGACTCCTGTGTTCAACATGCTCTTCTGGTGTTAGTCTCGTCCTCAGATCTCCTACTGCTCACACAACAAAGGCACTTAAACTGGAGATGGTGCTTAGCTTTAAATACCAGACTAGCAGATAACCAGGTTAAGGCCGCATCAAAACTGCACACTACACTTGGCCATGCATCTTTAACAGGGACCCAGAGGTCTCCGTAGATTTTGCAATTTCAGCCTTTTGATGATGTTAAACATTTGGGGAGGAAATATGAAGAACTAACCTTTAAGTAAAAGATAAGGTTAGGGGTTAATCTTCCAGCATTATTTCCTAAAAACAAATAAGACATTTCATAAAAGTGTTACTTAGTATATGTACAGGGCCTAATTCTATTGTTGCAAACATACTGCACTTAGGACCTTCCTAGGGGCATTTCATAACATGCTATTTTGCTCCATAACAGCCCAGAGACTTTTTGCTTTCAGCACCAAAAGACTGGGAGACAAATGTTTTTCCCTAGCAGTACCAGTTTAATTCTCCTGTCAACTCTAAACTACCCCTCATGGCCAGGTGACCACAGACTGCCTCGGGGGAAAGGTAAGGACAGGACTCTGGACATTTGGGCGGCGTGACCCAGAGGCTGGCACGGGCCCCCCTCGCGCCAGCCCTGCCCTGGCCAGGAGCCCCTCCGGCGCCCCTGCGCAGGGCCCTCTCTCCGGCTCACCTAATGACCAGGAGTTCGTGGAGCAGATACGCAGCTGCGGCCAGCAAAGCTCCCCCAGTCAAGTAAAGTGTTTTCTTCCACCAGGGATCGGAGCCCAGCCCTGCCATGATCCCACCGTAATCCTGCAAAGGGAAAGCGATGATGTCCCCATAAAAGGAGAAGGGCTCCTCGGACCCGGCCCACCAGCCGAAGAAGGAGACGCTCTGGTTCCAGCTCAGATCCACCACGCATGGCCTGGACGAGGCAAAACCAACCCCCCAGTGCATGCTGCGCGGCTGGCTGCGGGCGCCCCTCCCAGGGCCCGCGCCGCCCGCATGGGCAGAG